CAGATCACGAGTGTATATTCTCCAGCAAACTGACGAATATACAGGTACAATTACTGATTGATGAATTTTTTGTCCGATGCCTTAGTTTTCCAAAATTAAGGGAGCTTATTGACTCACTACATGACGGTTGCCGGATAGATGGCGACAGTTTCAAAGAGTGAGTTAACCCTGCTCAGATTTTTTTAAACAGATATTTTCCTCAATCTTAAAAGATAGCTCAGTTGTAAAGTACCTGACCCAAATCTGTCATGCCAACAACTAATCATTCAGCCGATAACGAGAGGGTGATAGTTACCCGTGCGTTTCCCAGTTCTATCCAATTTACAGCACATCTAGTCACCCCATTTCTCAGGTCTTATATTTGCTGCATTTGAGATTCAATCGCGAAGTCTAATGTTGACGAGTTGAATAAACTGAGATGACTAATCTCGACTAGTCTCCATTCATTTCCTATGAGAAGATTTGATTTTTTTTACTTACTGGTAAGTCTCCCCTGGGTAATAAATTGTAAAAGTTCATGTAGCTATGCACACTTGGTAAATGTAGTATAAGTGAAATTATGGCAAGAAAAGACGTCTAGCAAGAGACGCGAACAGCACAAACTCAAAATATTAGTTTCTTACATTGATTGTCTTGTTTTATTGAAACTAATAAGCAGGCTTAGCATTCCACACTCTTAGAAACCAATTCAATAAAATTGTAACGTTAGAGTTCCCTCTTTATCAATTGCGACTTAAAATAAAATGTTTTATCCTAAAGGCTAATGCACTAACGTATCATCTTTTTGGTTGCTGAAAGTGTCGATCGTGCATATACCGTAAAAAGCCTCACAGTGCTAGAAGAGTAAAATAAACGCTTAAAATTCCGTGGGAGATTCTCTTGATCGATAGACAGTTTTACCAGGGTCACTTATTTTGGTCCATGGTTTATGGGTGTGGCTGGGAATTCGATAGAGAGATGTCCAGTTTATAATTATAACTCAGTCATGAACTGAACAACAGGAAAGATTTACAAGGTGGTAAGTCATCAAGAAGACAATGCTTCACCGGTGATAAAATTATCCCCTCGGTGATTTCATAAATGAGCTTTTGCGATCAAAAGGGATGTAATTTTATTAGTTCGATTAAAACTAGTTTATCTTTATCGATGAACTTAATGTCAGATTGGGCAATTTAATTCCACATGGAACGTATAACCTTAACTACTTCAGAGATAATAATTTTTCCCGCGATAAAAAAAAAAATGTTTGTTTGGTGTGGTGCACAAAAGTCGGGCGTTTAATCATATGAATGACGGAGTTTAACACCGAAAATCATAATTCTTGGTGGGAGAACTAAGAGGAAACTGATTTGAAGTGATAAGTTTGGCTTGGGGAGTCAGTTTATTAAGAGAGCTGAGGTCTTCTGCTTAACTAACAATGAAATTTCTATAACAGCAACGCGGAATGTTTCAATAATCGATTGAGTGGCACATTTGGCAGATAATGGCATTTGAAAATAAGCGGTTTAAAATGTGATCCACCATGATGGATATATGATGTAAATACGTCAATTCAACCTTCAGATCATTACACACGACAGATTAAAACAAAAGCCTTTAGCACTTTATGCAGATCGCGAATGTTCGATTGTTGGTCTCTGGAAACCTCAGTTCCAGTAGAATCTGATCATTCCTTCGACTTGATTCCTAAAAACTTCAGTAAGAGTAAGTTAGGAGCAATGATTTTTATCCCAGTTGACGTTAAAAACTGTGTGTGGTCTTAAAGGTTTCGTGAGAAATTGCGGTAGTTGTCGATGACGCCCAATGAATTCATCCCTTGTTAATTAAATTTTCGAGGTGGGCCTGTTAGCTTGGTTTTGATCTTTCATCATTACGCTATTGTGGGTAACCAATTGACACACTCGTTTTGAAGAGGTCTAAAACTGCTGCATGTGGATTAAATATGAACACCCATGTGGGCCAGCGGTGCTCCCTTCCCAGTTTAATTTCTTTTGATTGCCTTACATGTATCTAAGTTTAAACTTCTCAACTAAAGAATTGAAAAAAAAAAAAAACAGGCAGATATTTCGTGTCTGGTTTCTAGAGATTTTTGAAAGTACCAGTTGAGAGATTTTAAATTAACGGTATCCTCTTCTTGATTCTGCTATCCTCCTGACTCGCATTGTATTGCTCACAGATTCCTGGGAATTGAAGATTTTCGCACGCAAATTTAAAGGTAAGAAAAGTCATTTTCAATTGCTTTTCTTTTCTTTTTTTTAACAGAGGGACTAAAATTTCAACTTAAATCTGCGTTTCTTTCTTAAAACCGAGTTTATGAACAAGTTGAGGCTGTTTTGTATTTGATCTTACAGTAAGCAATTGTTTTGTCATAATGAAAAGTAACAATGCTTGGATTTGTATCTTAGATAGCTAGGGTCTAAGAGGCTAACAATAATTATGAATTACTAAAGCCACTGGCCTCATCTATCTATCTACGCTGATTTCTCTGATTTTTGAAGTGCTTACTCATACTTATCAGCAATAAAATATGTCTCACTAAGTACAGACGGAGGCAACCACATGTAAATAGCACGCACGCAAACGTTTACAGTGTGGTCTTTGGATAAAACCAATTCTACGTACGGGGTTAGGAGAGAGGTATCATTATCACCCCATACGGTCCCATACTTGATAATTTTCTTAATTGTCGTCACTGTGCGCACCCTTTCAAACATTCCCACGCGCTCGCCGTCCTTAAAAGGAAACTGACATGAACATGACCTCGAAAATTCAATGCCTAACTGAGACAAATTTTCATAGATAAAACTGAAATTTATTGGTCTACTCTTGTTTAAAATTACTATATGAATGCACTTAAGCCTTAAAGGAGTGTTACGATGAGTTACGAATGTACAATGAAGATTCATGTCAAATTGAAAAAGCCTGCCAGCTTTTTCAAATTCCGTTCACGCGTTGTGGATAAATCGCTAAGAACTTATTTGAGTTCGCTATCTTGAATTCGCTCTCCTTTAATAATTCACTTAATGTATTCATTTTACTGTTCCAGAAGAATTTCGTGTACGAGTCAGGATACTCAATAATAATTTTATTATTTTATTTTTTTCGCTCACCGTGAGTCGACACAGAAAGGAAAGAAACTTAAATCAGTTCTTCATAAAAACCAAATTAACACTCAAGTCATCCTTGACCTTCACTGAAGGTTGATTAGAAGATGACAAGATGACAAGCTCTGGGGAGAAGCAGACATTTTCCGTTTCTACTCATAAACAGATCTTTTTCTCCCGGAAAAATCACTCATGAGCTTCATACAAAGGTTAACTTTGGGTCATTACTTGAGGGTGCGTTAATTTGTAAAATTGTCCGAATTTTTTTCAGTGCAAGGGATAAAATATCACACATATATTATAGCTGTATATGCTTACACACCGGCAATGGATTTGCTACAAAATGGTATAAACTATGTGGCCTTGATTTCCTCCAAGGAGGGGCCAACTTTCAGTTTATGTATGCCCCTTTCGCCTTCCAAAAGCGTCTTCGAGTTCCAAATATATTAAGAAAGGTAATTTAACCACCGTTAATTTTGCATTTTGCTTTCCTTTCCCTTGTTATTAAGTTCTTGTTAGACGGTAAGATTAACTGTAGAAACTGGCATGTTTCGTAATTCATTTTCTGTTCCCACCTGCGTATATAACTTTGCCATCACCTCCTCTCCCTTGTTACGTAGCAGGTGCTAATAACCTTTCCCCCGTAATTTTGATAATATCACAACTGAAAATCACAACACTAGGATTACGCTGGATCGTCCGGCGGAGCACGAGCCAGCTGTAGTGAGTCAAAAGCTCATAACATCACTTAAGTTACTCTCGGATGCACAGCTTTTAAGAAGTTGCTGAGAACCTGGAGGACTACCGAGGCAGAACGTCAGCATTTGATCGTGGACTACGCGGATTTCCAAAGACTTACAAGATCGGTGACAATTTGCAGATTTTTTTTCCCCCGGAAACATATGCCTTCTTTGCTCTTCTTTGGTTTACTTGGGTCGAGATTTAAGTAAATAGTTTCTGGTTATTAACACAGAATATTTTGTGAACTATGCAACACTTGAAAAGAAAGAGAAAAAGGAAAAAAAGCTCTGTTCGGATTATTCCTTCAACCACTAGCAAAAGAAAAACTTCAATCAGAAGCCTCTTATTGTAAGTTAGTTTTGCTTCTATGCAGCAGTTTTGACCCAAGAGTATGGTTTTCATGGTATCCACTATTAATAACAAATTACAGAAAAATAAAAATGATGGCCTTATATCTTTGTTGCACCAATGTAATGCTTTCATTGCAGTTTTTATCCGGCTCTGTCATGGCTGAATCCAAACACAGTAAAGAGTTTCTGTTCAAGACGTTCTACTTATCTTTGCTTATCACTTTGAGTCAAAAATCAGTAGACAAATGAACGTCTAGTTTTAACTCCTTTGTATTAAACTGTTAGAGTCAGTGTAGATGATTGCAAGCGGACTGGTCTGAGTAGCACACAGCACTCTGGGAAAAAAATAATTGTAAATTAAGTCACGCAATCAGCTAAGCAATTAACATCAACGTGTGGGATAGAGTTTATTTAAATTGGAATCATCGCGTTTCTAAAACCAAAACTACATCATGAAGAACCACTTTAAACAAATGCATGTAAAAACGATTATTTTTTTGTGGGGAGTTTACGAAACGTAGTCTTCTAAAACAGTTTAACAAACTTCATATCGACTTCGGTTCTATTCCATTCGAAGATTTCTTTTGGTACATAGGTTTGAGCAAATAGCACGTTCCTAAAAATAAAAAACCAAGAGGGAGATGACATGACCGCAAAACAATTATCGGTTTCATTTTCATTCTTCGTATAAATAGGCAATTTTAACCAGTCGATCAGAGAGTAGTCTTGTAAATGTTAGACCGTCAAAACGGTTTAAAGGTTTAAATAGCTTAGACAAAAATCTTACACACGCAAGTGAGAGAACCTTTAATGTTTATAAATTAACTTATTCCGAGCAAATAAGCTGGTATGTTTTCCTAGAAACTCACAGTTTAGTCCTCTAGCGATATCGTTTGGCCTCGAATGAGTTCTATAATGCTCATTATCTCAGCAGGATATGATTGCACCCTTGTCATTTCTCAATGGCTTTGCGTGTGAACACTGTAGCCAAACAGCAGGTACTGCCTTCTTCTTCCTCTAAACGATCGTGAAATCAGTGCGCAGGGAAGTTGATTGTGTCTCCGAGGTGCCAAGTTTCATTAAAATTTATACACGTAACGTAAAAAAAACTGTGACAGCATTGGATCGATCATGCCTAATTTTCCCATAGAAATTTTCGTAAGTGATATGTTGACACGTTGTTTACGCAGTGATGATACAATAACGCTCATCTACCGCCCCCCTTTCACGCCCATCTTAATTCGTTCTTAAATGGGATAATTGAGCCAAGTTTTTAATGCTGTCACGTCAAAAGTTGGCATTCCAAGCTCCGATTTCTCTTCAAAATTCAGGCGTGATAACGGCATGCAGTGGAAGTCGTGTAAAACGTCGCGGCGTTTTGTGACGACTCAATTGTTCCATTTCTCCCGTGTTGTTTATTTAAGGAGACCAGACATGCCCACCTACCGCAACTCTAATTGTAAGCGATTACCTTAATTAATTTTGTTATCTGCATATCAAAAATGGTACGTACAAACTCTCACCACGTTATAATGGGACAAAAACGACACAAAAAAGAAAGGCGGCATCCTTGCGGTCGATCACAAAGGGTATAATTGAAAGAGGACCAAGGAGTGTGGGTTTTTGGAATGCTGGACATTTTTCTCTCCTCTTCGCTGTGTTTTTCTCGATCGGCTGGTAACTCGCGCTCCAATTTGAGACAAAATGAATGTGATGTCTACAGCGACATTTAAACTTCACCTGCTGTTGTTTTCACTGTAAGTATAGAGCAGCGATTCGCTTGATATATACAAGATGTTGCCTTGATTTCGCATCCAAAGGATGTGAAAGGAACACTTTCGATCTTACAGTCGAATTTTGTGCGATTTTTGCGCCAGTAAAATCGATTGCGTACAACATCATTTAACTTCTGATATCTTTTTTAAGGATTTGTCGGATTGCCTTCATTTTGGGAAGAAGCCATGAGGTAGGAGGACTGAGTTAATTACTTATTGTCTCATTCAAAAATACTGTTAACTGGCGTTAGATAACCATCGTGTGTATAATGGCAACCACAGGAATACTACTTCAGAGACCACGTCAGGGCAGAGAGAAGAAGAAGCGATACGAGGAGCCTACCTTTCCACCGCGAGACGCAGCTGTATTCGAGGTCCAGTCGGAGTCACCTTCGCATACATGGAAAGCGCATCGACGCTCTAGGAAAAGATGGTGACAAATACGGTAGGCAAAACTCTGGCGTCGCTCCCGTAATAAACATTAAAGTCAAAATTTCCAGACGATAAGCGGATGATTGCCTCACGGTGGAGAACTCAGCAGGGAAATGGCAACTTCGAGTTCACGAAAGCCCCATCACAAATTCGCTCGTATGAATTGTAGTACGTAGTTATTGTTTTTGCTGTTCGTTGTGGGCTGTTGGTAATTGACTTAACTAATCGCTTGCGATGCAAGTTGAAAGGGTTAAGACTAAGATGAAACCTAACGTTTCATTTGACACACTGAAATAAATGGCGTCAAACGAGGTAAAGCGATTACGCATATCAAGTGCTAAAGTTACGTATAGCAGCGCATCATAACAGTGGATCATGACATCGTTTTCACACGTTTCACAAGAGGCATTTAATAGGATCGTATCCAAAATATTCTGTAGACAATTTTCCAACAGTGTTACTATTTTCTGCTTCCGTTTAGAATCACTACCTATATTTATTGCTTTATTCTTCAGAGCTTACCAGCTCAAGATAAATAACCAGTATTAAGCGAGGTTTCGGGAGCCGTTTCAAAAGTTCCGAGCGCTACTTTTATTTGGTGTGAAAAGCACTTCATTTACGTAACCGGTTCGACAAGCGCTTAGCATGGATAAATATGAGCTAAATTTTAGCAGAGCAATGTTAAAAGCTAATGCTATCATTAAATTGTGGGAAAAAGCATGCACACGGCATTGACAATGTACTTTATTCCGGGTTGAACAGGATGGGTAGCTGATGACCGAGAACAGTGCACTGTCTTAGAGCGAGCCTTATTAGCGGCAAAAAGTCTAATCCCTACAGAAACACTAAGGTCATCGCATAAGGCAAGGAATTTAATCTATTTATGTCCAGTCAGCGATTGTTTGCGCTAAAGCGGCGCCAGGATATAACGATGATAGCTTTATGAGATCCCAATCAAGCCTTTTAGTACAACTCTGTCAACGCTGGGGGTCTTGGCAGCAAGGAATTTGCCTGTGCTTTGCTGAACATAACGTGAGCCTTCCCAAGGTGGCGCATACAATTACAAGAACCACGTTTAAGTAGTAACAATACATTATTTCAAAATAAATTTGGCAAAGAATTGTGCAGCAGCTTCGTTCTCCATGTAGCTAATTTAGTTTCTTTTAGGGTATAGAAACAGTACAAGATTCAGTGAAGCGATCATGAATTGAAGTCGGAAAGCATGAAGGATTAAGAAGCGTGTTATCCCAAGTTGATAAACTGTAACACGCATCATAAATTAAACTGTGCTTAGACACAATGTGAAAGTTTCCGAAAGAATTTTCTGAATTTAAACAAACAGAACGAGGTGTTTGACAAATTAAAAATGGCCGCTAACTGGTGTGTCCTCTCTTTTTTGTTTGCAGCTAAGTTGGTCATCGAATCCGACAACTTTGGGCGAGTACGGATCCGCGGAGCGTTAACTAATTATTACCTGTGCATTAAAAGGAACGCAACGTTGATCGGACGAAAGGTAGCTCTTATTGCTTATGGTTATTTCATTATTTTATGCGCCCAATGTTTACAAAATGCTGTGTATTCTTTGTTAATAGGAAGGATTATGTGCATGGGAATACGGCAAATTTGCATTAGAAGCGGGCTCGGGGAGACAGTTTTTTCTGGGAAATTTCGTTTTTCCGGCAAAAAATTAAGATCTTGCATCTTAGGGGTGTCTTTCTACCAAGGTGAATTTTGAATTGAGAAACATTGCAATCAACTCACAGCAACCTGAAAGAATTACCTCGCATTAAGATGCCCAGATGTTTGGATATGACTGACACATTGTCAATATAGCCCACGCATGGGAAAATTCCCTGTAGATAGGACAAAAGAGAGTCAAACGGATTTCTTGAACATGTCAAAACGTGTATGGCCACCTGAACTTCCAAATTATCTTCTTTGCAAACTTTACGCTATTGATGCGAGTGTCATACGGTTTCGTGACAACAAAAGATTGGTGTCAAGGTCAGTCCAAATTTACTCAAACGAACTTGCTTTTCTTGGCCGCTCATTTCAACAGCACAATTAACGGTTTTGTACGCAGGCTACATTTACGAGCTAGCTCGAGCTAATGAAATTTTGCATGATGTCCATCTTAAGTAGCTATTCACTTTTTTCAGCAATGGCACGAAGACGCCCAAAAGATTACATAGTTATCTTATCAGTTTCAATAGTCACAACCCTCTAATCTTACTTAACTAAACCAATAAAAATAGTTGAAAGTTCTTAAAGTTAAAAGGCGCTTTAATTTTAATCTCGAAACACGATACACTTGCTAGAAGTACTGGTTAGGCTCCAACTGTTATAAAATAGCTGCGTTCTAGCACAGGGCGTGTTTTAGAATGCTTTTAAAAGCGTTTATCTCGCAATTTACCTTTACCTTTTTTTAACTACAAGTCAAATTCCAAAGTAAAATTACAAAATTTAAGAACACACAACCAGAAGTAAAAATGCGTCTCTGAGGGAAACGTCACTCAAAAAGTCAAAGTAATTACAAGAAGATTTGCCTTTGACTGCCCTTCAAGTTCAAAACATGAATTCTCCCTCAAATGATCATGACAAAATTAGATGTTACTCGGTGCCAAAAATGACAGCCATGATTACACGCCTTGAATGCTGAACCTATTATTATTTAATTAATGACTTTGGGGTGTCAGTGCACCTCCACGTTAGAATATCCACATCACCGTCAAATTTAAATAATGCTCAACCCTCATTATGAACAAAAAACAAAGGAGCAAATCGTTTTTCTCCAGCAAAATAACATGGTTTACCCATTTCAAAATTATATTCGTCTGACACTTGAGTCTCCAGTTAATTTCTAAATCTTTGCCCATTTCCAACTTTTCAGTTATCAGTTTGGCCATTGTCAACTATAAGACAAATGTTGACCGTCGCTTGCCTATTAGCCAGGTGTCCCTGAAAATTCTGTCTACTTATAATTAAGTTATTCAGATTTTGCTCGTTCAGTTCTAGATCAAAGCGGGTTAGGTAGTGTTCAGTCGGCAGTTAAAAGTTTGGCCGTTCAGTCGACAGTTTCCAGACACTCACACCATACTTTTTAGGGAGGCGTGGTGGCCTCATTGTTAGTGCGCTCGTCTCTGGATCAACCGGTCCGGGTTCAAGCCCTGGCCATGGACATTGCAATGTGTTCATGGACAAGACGCTTAACTCTCACAGTACCTCTATCTCCACCCAGGTATATAAATGGGTACCGGCGAACTTAATGCTGGGGGGTAACCCTGCGATGGACTAGGATCCCATCAAGGGGGGAGTAAAAATACTCCTAGTCGCTTCACGCTAAAGAAACCGGGATAAATTCCGGCCTGATGGGCCACTTGGTTCGTATGCTTTACCTTAAGCCAATTGTGTTGTGTCCAGCTGATAAGGCTGTCTCCGAGAACTAATTAAGAGCGTAGTTGTCTTTCTTTTTGTTCCTCTTGGAGGGTGTTTTCAAGTAACATAGAGCTTCTTGTGAACAAACTAGCGAGACAATTTTCGAAATTTAGCGCACTATAGAGAAGTTTACAAGTATTTGTTTAAACCAGCACCATATGTAATTCCGTTATACTTTCACAACTGAGAATTTATTTAATGTATGGGTTAAAAGAGAGGTTCTTTCTTACAGGCCACTAAGTCCAAAAGATGCGTCTTTTACGAGAAGTACGCGGAAAACCACTACACCGAATTCCTTTCGGCTTACAACGAGAGCTGGACGATAGCAGTGTCAAAAAAGGGCACGATGAGGCCTGGACACAAGGGACAGAGGGGAAAAAAAACCGTTCAATTTATTGAACGAGCTTCAAAGATCATTATTCAAACAAAAAATGTCCAAGAGTCACTTTATCACGGACTTCGTGATCACATTGAGCAGCTGCTGCGCGCGTACAGAGCTAAGGAAGGCGATAATAACAAAGAAAAGACAAGGAAAATGCCACACCCTGGCTACCCAGAGACAAAGAAACAAAAAGCCAAGATTAAAAGGAGAGAGAAGAAAATGAAGTTGCGATCTAAGAACAGGTTGCTAAAAATGCTTCGGAAAGAGCAGCGCAGGGAACAGAGGAAAGATAAACCCTAAGTACTGCTATTTCTTAACCTTGTCCACTTGTTTTAGCCTGTACTTTATTCTTCATAAATAACTGCCACCCATGATTCTAGAAAAAGCGTCGAAGAGACCAGCTTTCCTACATGTAATCTTTCAAGCCAACGATTCTGTTCTCTCAATTTACGAGCCTGGAAAAGGTCACACCAAAAGAGTCTTTAGTCGAAGAAACTAATCTCTTGGCATGAGCATGATCATGCATGCTTTAGGCGATGTTCTTCAGTTACTTAGAGTCTTCATAATCGATCTTTAAATTCGTTACATAAATTTAAGAGTGGCTAAACAAAGTTGGAATAGGTGAAGTACAGGAAAACTCCTCGTTATAGCTGGATTAAATTTATTATCAGTTTAGAATAACGAGCAGAAATTGCATGGAGACAAATGCAGGTCGGACGGCAGCACGACCGCTGAAAATTGATTTGACAAAACGTGGAAGAGCTATGGGAATTTGCATAAGTTTGTTATGACTGCGGTAGGACTGAAAGCAAAGAAATCCTTGTGTNCGTATGAATTGTAGTACGTAGTTATTGTTTTTGCTGTTCGTTGTGGGCTGTTGGTAATTGACTTAACTAATCGCTTGCGATGCAAGTTGAAAGGGTTAAGACTAAGATGAAACCTAACGTTTCATTTGACACACTGAAATAAATGGCGTCAAACGAGGTAAAGCGATTACGCATATCAAGTGCTAAAGTTACGTATAGCAGCGCATCATAACAGTGGATCATGACATCGTTTTCACACGTTTCACAAGAGGCATTTAATAGGATCGTATCCAAAATATTCTGTAGACAATTTTCCAACAGTGTTACTATTTTCTGCTTCCGTTTAGAAGCACTACCTATATTTATTGCTTTATTCTTCAGAGCTTACCAGCTCAAGATAAATAACCAGTATTAAGCGAGGTTTCGGGAGCCGTTTCAAAAGTTCCGAGCGCTACTTTTATTTGGTGTGAAAAGCACTTCATTTACGTAACCGGTTCGACAAGCGCTTAGCATGGATAAATATGAGCTAAATTTTAGCAGAGCAATGTTAAAAGCTAATGCTATCATTAAATTGTGGGAAAAAGCATGCACACGGCATTGACAATGTACTTTATTCCGGGTTGAACAGGATGGGTAGCTGATGACCGAGAACAGTGCACTGTCTTAGAGCGAGCCTTATTAGCGGCAAAAAGTCTAATCCCTACAGAAACACTAAGGTCATCGCATAAGGCAAGGAATTTAATCTATTTATGTCCAGTCAGCGATTGTTTGCGCTAAAGCGGCGCCAGGATATAACGATGATAGCTTTATGAGATCCCAATCAAGCCTTTTAGTGCAACTCTGTCAACGCTGGGGGTCTTGGCAGCAAGGAATTTGCCTGTGCTTTGCTGGACATAACGTGAGCCTTCCCAAGGTGGCGCATACAATTACAAGAACCACGTTAAAGTAGTAACAATACATTATTTCAAAATAAATTTGGCAAAGAATTGTGCAGCAGCTTCGTTCTCCATGTAGCTAATTTAGTTTCTTTTAGGGTATAGAAACAGTACAAGATTCAGTGAAGCGATCATGAATTGAAGTCGGAAAGCATGAAGGATTAAGAAGCGTGTTATCCCAAGTTGATAAACTGTAACACGCATCATAAATTAAACTGTGCTTAGACACAATGTGAAAGTTTCCGAAAGAATTTTCTGAATTTAGCCTGTGTAAACAAACAGAAGGAGGTGTTTGACAAATTAAAAATGGCCGCTAACTGGTGTGTCCTCTCTTTTTTGTTTGCAGCTAAGTTGGTCATCGAATCCGACAACTTTGGGCGAGTACGGATCCGCGGAGCGTTAACTAATTATTACCTGTGCATTAAAAGGAACGCAACGTTGATCGGACGAAAGGTAGCTCTTATTGCTTATGGTTATTTCATTATTTTATGCGCCCAATGTTTACAAAATGCTGTGTATTCTTTGTTAATAGGAAGGATTATGTGCATGGGAATACGGCAAATTTGCATTAGAAGCGGGCTCGGGGAGACAGTTTTTTCTGGGAAATTTCGTTTTTCCGGCAAAAAATTAAGATCTTGCATCTTAGGGGTGTCTTTCTACCAAGGTGAATTTTGAATTGAGAAACATTGCAATCAACTCACAGCAACCTGAAAGAATTACCTCGCATTAAGATGCCCAGATGTTTGGATATGACTGACACATTGTCAATATAGCCCACGCATGGGAAAATTCCCTGTAGATAGGACAAAAGAGAGTCAAACGGATTTCTTGAACATGTCAAAACGTGTATGGCCACCTGAACTTCCAAATTATCTTCTTTGCAAACTTTACGCTATTGATGCGAGTGTCATACGGTTTCGTGACAACAAAAGATTGGTGTCAAGGTCAGTCCAAATTTACTCAAACGAACTTGCTTTTCTTGGCCGCTCATTTCAACAGCACAATTAACGGTTTTGTACGCAGGCTACATTTACGAGCTAGCTCGAGCTAATGAAATTTTGCATGATGTCCATCTTAAGTAGCTATTCACTTTTTTCAGCAATGGCACGAAGACGCCCAAAAGATTACATAGTTATCTTATCAGTTTCAATAGTCACAACCCTCTAATCTTACTTAACTAAACCAATAAAAATAGTTGAAAGTTCTTAAAGTTAAAAGGCGCTTTAATTTTAATCTCGAAACACGATACACTTGCTAGAAGTACTGGTTAGGCTCCAACTGTTATAAAATAGCTGCGTTCTAGCACAGGGCGTGTTTTAGAATGCTTTTAAAAGCGTTTATCTCGCAATTTACCTTTACCTTTTTTTAACTACAAGTCAAATTCCAAAGTAAAATTACAAAATTTAAGAACACACAACCAGAAGTAAAAATGCGTCTCTGAGGGAAACGTCACTCAAAAAGTCAAAGTAATTACAAGAAGATTTGCCTTTGACTGCCCTTCAAGTTCAAAACATGAATTCTCCCTCAAATGATCATGACAAAATTAGATGTTACTCGGTGCCAAAAATGACAGCCATGATTACACGCCTTGAATGCTGAACCTATTATTATTTAATTAATGACTTTGGGGTGTCAGTGCACCTCCACGTTAGAATATCCACATCACCGTCAAATTTAAATGATGCTCAACCCTCATTATGAACAAAAAACAAAGGAGCAAATCGTTTTTCTCCAGCAAAATAACATGGTTTACCCATTTCAAAATTATATTCGTCTGACACTTGAGTCTCCAGTTAATTTCTAAATCTTTGCCCATTTCCAACTTTTCAGTTATCAGTTTGGCCATTGTCAACTATAAGACAAATGTTGACCGTCGCTTGCCTATTAGCCAGGTGTCCCTGAAAATTCTGTCTACTTATAATTAAGTTATTCAGATTTTGCTCGTTCAGTTCTAGATCAAAGCGGGTTAGGTAGTGTTCAGTCGGCAGTTAAAAGTTTGGCCGTTCAGTCGACAGTTTCCAGACACTCACACCATACTTTTTAGGGAGGCGTGGTGGCCTCATTGTTAGTGCGCTCGTCTCTGGATCAACCGGTCCGGGTTCAAGCCCTGGCCATGGACATTGCAATGTGTTCATGGACAAGACGCTTAACTCTCACAGTACCTCTATCTCCACCCAGGTATATAAATGGGTACCGGCGAACTTAATGCTGGGGGGTAACCCTGCGATGGACTAGGATCCCATCAAGGGGGGAGTAAAAATACTCCTAGTCGCTTCACGCTAAAGAAACCGGGATAAATTCCGGCCTGATGGGCCACTTGGTTCGTATGCTTTACCTTAAGCCAATTGTGTTGTGTCCAGCTGATAAGGCTGTCTCCGAGAACTAATTAAGAGCGTAGTTGTCTTTCTTTTTGTTCCTCTTGGAGGGTGTTTTCAAGTAACATAGAGCTTCTTGTGAACAAACTAGCGAGACAATTTTCGAAACTTAGCGCACTATAGAGAAGTTTACAAGCATTTGTTTAAACCAGCACCATATGTAATTCCGTTATACTTTCACAACTGAGAATTTATTTAATGTATGGGTTAAAAGAGAGGTTCTTTCTTACAGGCCACTAAGTCCAAAAGATGCGTCTTTTACGAGAAGTACGCGGAAAACCACTACACCGAATTCCTTTCGGCTTACAACGAGAGCTGGACGATAGCAGTGTCAAAAAAGGGCACGATGAGGCCTGGACACAAGGGACAGAGGGGAAAAAAACCCGTTCAATTTATTGAACGAGCTTCAAAGATCATTATTCAAACAAAAAATGTCCAAGAGTCACTTTATCACGGACTTCGTGATCACATTGAGCAGCTGCTGCGCGCGTACAGAGCTAAGGAAGGCGATAATAACAAAGAAAAGACAAGGAAAATGCCACACCCTGGCTACCCAGAGACAAAGAAACAAAAAGCCAAGATTAAAAGGAGAGAGAAGAAAATGAAGTTGCGATCTAAGAACAGGTTGCTAAAAATGCTTCGGAAAGAGCAGCGCAGGGAACAGAGGAAAGATAAACCCTAAGTACTGCTATTTCTTAACCTTGTCCACTTGTTTTAGCCTGTACTTTATTCTTCATAAATAACTGCCACCCATGATTCTAGAAAAAGCGTCGAAGAGACCAGCTTTCCTACATGTAATCTTTCAAGCCAACGATTCTGTTCTCTCAATTTACGAGCCTGGAAAAGGTCACACCAAAAGAGTCTTTAGTCGAAGAAACTAATCTCTTGGCATGAGCATGATCATGCATGCTTTAGGCGATGTTCTTCAGTTACTTAGAGTCTTCATAATCGATCTTTAAATTCGTTACATAAATTTAAGAGTGGCTAAACAAAGTTGGAATAGGTGAAGTACAGGAAAACTCCTCGTTATAGCTGGATTAAATTTATTATCAGTTTAGAATAACGAGCAGAAATTGCATGGAGACAAATGCAGGTCGGACGGCAGCACGACCGCTGAAAATTGATTTGACAAAACGTGGAAGAGCTATGGGAATTTGCATAAGTTTGTTATGACTGCGGTAGGACTGAAAGCAAAGAAATCATTGTGTTACCGCTGCGCAAAGTGCAACGAGCCAATCAGAACTCGAACGAAAAACTGGCAACTGGTGACATGGCAAGCGCGAGGAGTGCCATGCGTTGTTAATGGCGATTGGCGATTGGTTTTGTTGTTGGGTTTGGCTTTGCACAGTGATTAGTTAGAGCACTTTACACGAGTTAATGGCCAATTCCCTCTACGAGACGTGCTTGCAGGGAATCATGGTAAGTATATCCACTGATCATCTTGGACTGGATATTTGTTTTGATGGATACAACTACCATGTTTCCCTGCAGGCGAGTCTCACAGAGGGAATTAGCCATCGAGGAGACTTATGAACCAGTTGCTAAACTCAGCGAAAAAAGAAAGAAATCCGAAATGAGTCAAAAGGCATCATCAATCTTGTAACTGCACCGAGTACCAAAGAATTCAATAACGACGCCTGACTATGACTAGGCTGCTTAATTTTAATTGAATTACTCGGCGTTTGCACGAGAGAATTATTATTTTGTGCTAAAAGGCAACAATTAGATCTAAATTAAACCATGATTGGTTATTCATATGTTTCATATGTTTATTCATACTTTCACTTAGAGAAGAATATTGTCCTCTTTAAAGCTCTTACTTTTTGACATAAAAAGCGACTTTCGCAGATGGCGTGAGTAAAGAGTGTTGCTGACCCTTGAGTCGTCACCTATGTCATAACAAACTATTGGTAAAAAGGATAGGGCTCGATAGCGATCGTGTGTGCGATTATCCGCCATTACAAGATATGGATAATCATCATGGATGTTAAGTGTAACTGAAATTCATTTCTATAAATAATTCCGTTGTATTTCTTTCCACTTACATTTGCACTATATTAGATCATAAATGTACGGCTTATTGATGTTTTTTTGCTTTGTATAATATGAATTTACTGTATGTTATTGGGTGACATCGAAAACAATGTTCCAGTTGAAAACAGCGACTCAAAGCAAGAGTAAATCTGAGTTTGCTTGTGTCTTATGTGTACAAAGTTGATATCTAACTAGGGATCTAACGCACTTCACAAACGAACACCAGTAATGAGGTAAGAACTACGTTCGTCCTTTATCTATTGTCAATATTATACTACAACAAATGGAAGAGAAGTTAAAGGGGAATGACCACACACGCTGGCAACAATCCGTGCAGAGTATCTCAAGGCCCGGCCTCAAAGATGCACAGGGAACTATTACTTAAAAGTATACCGAATTAACGACTTAAAAGTTCCAATAATGAAACTCAGGACTATTTTTTTCTTACTTAATTTGGCTGATATTTTACTGAATCTTTATTCAACTGGGTGATATTGTTAAAGAATGATCGTGGGGGGAACGACCTCTTCCACATGCAAATGGACGTCTAACATCTTCTTTAATCTTTTTCTTTTTTATTCATTTTGTAACAACGCTATCTCTTACACTTCTGAACCTGAAACCCTGCTTCGGCTCTTTTATATTGACCTGGTAGAAACTGTCAATCAAGTATCAAACTGACGCTCCGTACCACGAAATCTAGGCTTACGTAAAGGCCTGCTCAGTCCACGCTAAGTAGTACTGCGCTTGCGCACGAGAATCATTTCCGTATTTTCCTTCTATCAAATAACAAAGTNTGGTGTGTCCTCTCTTTTTTGTTTGCAGCTAAGTTGGTCATCGAATCCGACAACTTTGGGCGAGTACGGATCCGCGGAGCGTTAACTAATTATTACCTGTGCATTAAAAGGAACGCAACGTTGATCGGACGAAAGGTAGCTCTTATTGCTTATGGTTATTTCATTATTTTATGCGCCCAATGTTTACAAAATGCTGTGTATTCTTTGTTAATAGGAAGGATTATGTGCATGGGAATACGGCAAATTTGCATTAGAAGCGGGCTCGGGGAGACAGTTTTTTCTGGGAAATTTCGTTTTTCCGGCAAAAAATTAAGATCTTGCATCTTAGGGGTGTCTTTCTACCAAGGTGAATTTTGAATTGAGAAACATTGCAATCAACTCACAGCAACCTGAAAGAATTACCTCGCATTAAGATGCCCAGATGTTTGGATATGACTGACACATTGTCAATATAGCCCACGCATGGGAAAATTCCCTGTAGATAGGACAAAAGAGAGTCAAACGGATTTCTTGAACATGTCAAAACGTGTATGGCCACCTGAACTTCCAAATTATCTTCTTTGCAAACTTTACGCTATTGATGCGAGTGTCATACGGTTTCGTGACAACAAAAGATTGGTGTCAAGGTCAGTCCAAATTTACTCAAACGAACTTGCTTTTCTTGGCCGCTCATTTCAACAGCACAATTAACGGTTTTGTACGCAGGCTACATTTACGAGCTAGCTCGAGCTAATGAAATTTTGCATGATGTCCATCTTAAGTAGCTATTCACTTTTTTCAGCAATGGCACGAAGACGCCCAAAAGATTACATAGTTATCTTATCAGTTTCAATAGTCACAACCCTCTAATCTTACTTAACTAAACCAATAAAAATAGTTGAAAGTTCTTAAAGTTAAAAGGCGCTTTAATTTTAATCTCGAAACACGATACACTTGCTAGAAGTACTGGTTAGGCTCCAACTGTTATAAAATAGCTGCGTTCTAGCACAGGGCGTGTTTTAGAATGCTTTTAAAAGCGTTTATCTCGCAATTTACCTTTACCTTTTTTTAACTACAAGTCAAATTCCAAAGTAAAATTACAAAATTTAAGAACACACAACCAGAAGTAAAAATGCGTCTCTGAGGGAAACGTCACTCAAAAAGTCAAAGTAATTACAAGAAGATTTGCCTTTGACTGCCCTTCAAGTTCAAAACATGAATTCTCCCTCAAATGATCATGACAAAATTAGATGTTACTCGGTGCCAAAAATGACAGCCATGATTACACGCCTTGAATGCTGAACCTATTATTATTTAATTAATGACTTTGGGGTGTCAGTGCACCTCCACGTTAGAATATCCACATCACCGTCAAATTTAAATAATGCTCAACCCTCATTATGAACAAAAAACAAAGGAGCAAATCGTTTTTCTCCAGCAAAATAACATGGTTTACCCATTTCAAAATTATATTCGTCTGACACTTGAGTCTCCAGTTAATTTCTAAATCTTTGCCCATTTCCAACTTTTCAGTTATCAGTTTGGCCATTGTCAACTATAAGACAAATGTTGACCGTCGCTTGCCTATTAGCCAGGTGTCCCTGAAAATTCTGTCTACTTATAATTAAGTTATTCAGATTTTGCTCGTTCAGTTCTAGATCAAAGCGGGTTAGGTAGTGTTCAGTCGGCAGTTAAAAGTTTGGCCGTTCAGTCGACAGTTTCCAGACACTCACACCATACTTTTTAGGGAGGCGTGGTGGCCTCATTGTTAGTGCGCTCGTCTCTGGATCAACCGGTCCGGGTTCAAGCCCTGGCCATGGACATTGCAATGTGTTCATGGACAAGACGCTTAACTCTCACAGTACCTCTATCTCCACCCAGGTATATAAATGGGTACCGGCGAACTTAATGCTGGGGGGTAACCCTGCGATGGACTAGGATCCCATCAAGGGGGGAGTAAAAATACTCCTAGTCGCTTCACGCTAAAGAAACCGGGATAAATTCCGGCCTGATGGGCCACTTGGTTCGTATGCTTTACCTTAAGCCAATTGTGTTGTGTCCAGCTGATAAGGCTGTCTCCGAGAACTAATTAAGAGCGTAGTTGTCTTTCTTTTTGTTCCTCTTGGAGGGTGTTTTCAAGTAACATAGAGCTTCTTGTGAACAAACTAGCGAGACAATTTTCGAAACTTAGCGCACTATAGAGAAGTTTACAAGCATTTGTTTAAACCAGCACCATATGTAATTCCGTTATACTTTCACAACTGAGAATTTATTTAATGTATGGGTTAAAAGAGAGGTTCTTTCTTACAGGCCACTAAGTCCAAAAGATGCGTCTTTTACGAGAAGTACGCGGAAAACCACTACACCGAATTCCTTTCGGCTTACAACGAGAGCTGGACGATAGCAGTGTCAAAAAAGGGCACGATGAGGCCTGGACACAAGGGACAGAGGGGAAAAAAAACCGTTCAATTTATTGAACGAGCTTCAAAGATCATTATTCAAACAAAAAATGTCCAAGAGTCACTTTATCACGGACTTCGTGATCACATTGAGCAGCTGCTGCGCGCGTACAGAGCTAAGGAAGGCGATAATAACAAAGAAAAGACAAGGAAAATGCCACACCCTGGCTACCCAGAGACAAAGAAACAAAAAGCCAAGATTAAAAGGAGAGAGAAGAAAATGAAGTTGCGATCTAAGAACAGGTTGCTAAAAATGCTTCGGAAAGAGCAGCGCAGGGAACAGAGGAAAGATAAACCCTAAGTACTGCTATTTCTTAACCTTGTCCACTTGTTTTAGCCTGTACTTTATTCTTCATAAATAACTGCCACCCATGATTCTAGAAAAAGCGTCGAAGAGACCAGCTTTCCTACATGTAATCTTTCAAGCCAACGATTCTGTTCTCTCAATTTACGAGCCTGGAAAAGGTCACACCAAAAGAGTCTTTAGTCGAAGAAACTAATCTCTTGGCATGAGCATGATCATGCATGCTTTAGGCGATGTTCTTCAGTTACTTAGAGTCTTCATAATCGATCTTTAAATTCGTTACATAAATTTAAGAGTGGCTAAACAAAGTTGGAATAGGTGAAGTACAGGAAAACTCCTCGTTATAGCTGGATTAAATTTATTATCAGTTTAGAATAACGAGCAGAAATTGCATGGAGACAAATGCAGGTCGGACGGCAGCACGACCGCTGAAAATTGATTTGACAAAACGTGGAAGAGCTATGGGAATTTGCATAAGTTTGTTATGACTGCGGTAGGACTGAAAGCAAAGAAATCCTTGTGTTACCGCTGCGCATAGTGCAACGAGCCAATCAGAACTCGAACGAAAAACTGGCAACTGGTGACATGGCAAGCGCGAGGAGTGCCATGCGTTGTTAATGGTGATTGGCGATTGGTTTTGTTGTTGGGTTTGGCTTTGCACAGTGATTAGTTAGAGCACTTTACACGAGTTAATGGCCAATTCCCTCTACGAGACGTGCTTGCAGGGAATCATGGTAAGTATATCCACTGATCATCTTGGACTGGATATTTGTTTTGATGGATACAACTACCATGTTTCCCTGCAGGCGAGTCTCACAGAGGGAATTAGCCATCGAGGAGACTTATGAACCAGTTGCTAAACTCAGCGAAAAAAGAAAGAAATCCGAAATGAGTCAAAAGGCATCATCAATCTTGTAACTGCACCGAGTACCAAAGAATTCAATAACGACGCCTGACTATGACTAGGCTGCTTAATTTTAATTGAATTACTCGGCGTTTGCACGAGAGAATTATTATTTTGTGCTAAAAGGCAACAATTAGATCTAAATTAAACCATGATTGGTTATTCATATGTTTATGCTCGTTGGGGAAATTGCCTTGGCTTTGAAATACTTTCACTTAGAGAAGAATATTGTCCTCTTTAAAGCTCTTACTTTTTGACATAAAAAGCGACTTTCGCAGA